AGGGGCTGGCCTGGCCGGGGGCTGCAGTTGTCCTGCTGCGAGGGGTTGTACTCCTCCTCCGAGCACTCGCAGTGCGAGCCCAGGCGCCCGGGGTTGCAGCGGCACACGCCGCACTCCAGCGTGCCGTTGCCCTGGCTGCAGGACGAGCTGTTGGCCTCGGCCCGGCTCTCGCAGGAGCAGTCGCAGTCGAAGTTCACCACCACCGTCAGGCTGTCCTTGAAGCCCACGGGTTTGATGGTGAAGGATTTCTGCCGCTCCCGCGGGCACCCCCGCACCTTGGCCTCGATGCTGAAGCTGACCTGGAGGGCGGAGGGTGTCGGTACCAGCGGCGCGGCACGGGGGAACGCGCTGCAGTCCGTGCCCGGGCTTAAGGAGCCCAGAAATGGGACCCACCGGGTCTCTTTGGGCTTTTCAAAGCTGTCCCAGCACGGTTTGGTCCGGGCCACCGGCCTGCCACAGTAACCAGGCTAAACCCAAAGCACTGCAGCCAGCAGCCCGGGCTGAGCTAGCGGGGTTTGCATCCAGCAGACTCAAAAAAAGCATTTTCCTCCTTGCACCCACCCAGCTGGACCTCTCTCTCCACTGCAAAGTTCACAGGGTCGGTGTCACCCCGGAGCTGGTGGGGCAAGCGCACAGTGCTGGTGGAGAGCACCAGACGAGCCGGCAGCGCTGCTACATAGCTGGGGGGGGGAAAAACCCGAGCCCCTGAACAGGATCCTCACCGTGTCCCCGATTTTGAGCCCCATGCAAGACTTGAGCCCAGGGATGACCTCGTCGTTGAGGCACGTGGCGTTGAAGGCCAGGGACAGCTCTTCGGGGAGGTCGCGCACCTCCAGCTCCACCTTGGAGCGGATTTTCTAGGGGAGGAGAGAGGAGCGATGAAGACGACGGCACGGGCTGGGCACGGCTCAGTCCCAGGAGGGGTCCCCCCGAGCACCGCGGCAATGCTCCCCTGCGCATGGGGAAGGAGCCAAGTGCCCCAAGTCTCTTTCAGGACTCTGCTACATCTTTCCCCACGGCGAAATGCCTTTGAGGATGGGAAGGGGTGGGTGGTGAACGCAGTGATCTCCCTTCCCCGGCGTCCCCGCACGCATGGGTGGAGGCAGATGCTCACAGCTGGTCCAGGGAGGATGCTCAAGGCTTGGGGAGCTGCCAAATCTGTGTAGGCTGTTTGCAGTGTGAAGCAGTGGCTATTTTGGGAGGGAGAAAGCTGTTGTGGGGCCATCGCACTGCACACTCACCCCGTAGGAGTCCACTATGAGCTGTAGGACATTACTGGAGTCTCTGGACAAGGTGCCCACGGTTGTGCCTGGGATCAACTCACTGTAGTTCTGGAGAAATATCATAAGCATGGTCTGCTCGTGATGGGTGAATGTACCATGGCTGGGACAAACCCTGTTCAGCCACGCAGGAGCTTCCCAAGGAGCTTTGGTAGGACAGAAGCTCACCAAGCTATGTCCAGCCACCCATGGCCAGCTGCAAAGGGTGCTCCTTGGGATCCACCAGCCCCCCAGGAAGGTGGCTTTGCACAGCAGCTCTTACCTGGTAGAGACCAACAACCGTATCCGTCACAGCAAAGATCAAGTTAATGTTTTTCTGTGAGAGTTTCTCAGTCATCAGGCCCAGAGAGGGATAGTCCTGGGGAAAAGTAGAGGCTATACCCTAGCAACACATACCCCCAACCACACTGGTCCCCATCATGCTCTCCAACCACAGCAGGACCACCTTTCCCATCCCATGGGGACCCTCAAGAGGAGCTCTGGGGTCCACAATCCCACACATTGGTTGGGATTTACCAGCGTAGTGGAGGCAGAGTAGAAATTATCCTTGTCAATGTGGCACTGGGCATCATTGGGCTGCACGATGCCAGCCAGCCTGCCGTCCAGTGCGATGTGGGTCTTGGCATCCGTGGTGAACACAAGTAGGTGGGAAGCGTCATTCCTCCAGCCGATTTTCTCCTGCAGCAAAAGGCAGCTCCCAGTTGTGCAGCAGCGTGTGCCAAGGGCAACCCTACGTGCCGGCACCCGCTGCTGCCCTTGCTGCCACCCTGGGTCATGGCTTGGCCGTAGGGACCAACCTGCCACCGCAGAGGGAACCAAGGGCAATTGCTCTCCCAGGGAAGTGCTGTGGGGGCTGCGGAGCCTGGCAGGTGTGTATGGGCTGTTCATACAGGTGAAAGAGTTTTAATTTGCTAGAGTGTTAATCAAGGTGGTTAATGATTGAGGGATGCAACCCCTCCCATCTCCAGCAAAATCAAGGCACAGGCACAGGAGATGTCCCTTCTGGGCCGGTTACTGCAGGGCTGACATGGGATCATCATCAGTCCCCAAGCACCTGCTCTGCTCCTCCCAGGACCATGCAAGGGTCCTGCTCTTCCCTTGCCTTGGCTACTGGCCTAGAAATGTCCCTGTTGAACATATACCAGGTCTCAGGCCTGCAGCAGCTCCACAGAGCTTACAGCTTTGTCCTGGTGGGGTTGGGTGGTCCTTGCCAACCCACGAGGCCCAGTGTGATGATCCTCTCCCAGCCCCAGCCAGGCCTTCTTGCCCCTTACGTCGCACACGGTGGCCTGGATGATGGCATCGAAGCCGCCCTCAGGTGCATCGCGATTCCGTGAGACACTCTGCTTCCGCACCTCCTCGTTGAAGCGGGTCACCTCATCCGTGAGCGACAGGACGTGTTTGTAGCCAAACATGGGCAGGCAGGTTTCCCCAATCCTGCAGGAGGACGGCAGTCAGGGTACAAGACTCACAGGGCTCTTCCACCTCCTGTCCCCACCCCGCAACCATCCCACGTCCCATGGTCCTGTCTGGGATGTGCTGGAGGGACCCAACCACACCAAGATCCTGAGGACACAGCCAGAAGCTAGTGAAGGACCTTTTAAAAAACTAAATCACATGTTCTAGTGACGCTGGGCTCAGGTCAGCTCCCAGCCTCTGTCCTACTTGGATTTTGAGGATTCACTTTCTTTGAGCTTCAACATCGTTTCTGAAAAAAATGGTGTAAAATTGTTCATTCCCTTAAGAGCTTTTCAGTGACAATGATACTTCAAAGTTTCCTCCCTGTGCCAGCAGAACGTGCAGTGCAGCAAAACCCTGCCCAAAAATCAGACCCTCAACTCTGCCGAAATTCATTGCCATGGATTTCTAGCCACATTCCAGTGATGTTCCATTAACTTCTGGCCCTTACAGGACTCCCTCAGCCTGGGACTTACTTACTCATAGCAAGGGTTCGTGATGGCTTGCGGGGGAGAGATATACATGTAGGGGGAAATGGGCTTGTCCACAAAGGCCCCAAAGCCGATGCGTAGGTTGCTGGTGAGCTTGCGCATCTCGCTGGCCAGCTTGGTGCCCAGGTTCTGGATGTTCCTCAGGTCGTCCTTCATGGAGTTGGACAAGTCCATCAGGTAGTAGATGTCCACGGGGTAGTCTTCCACTTGGCGCACTTGGACACGAAAGATCTGGGAGTCATCTGTAATGTGACAGGGCAGCAGAGTGAGAGAGAGATCCTCCCCTGGGAGGACCAAAGGGGGCTTGTCACTGGACTGAGGAGAAAGTCAGCCTACAAGGTCAGCAGGAGCCCAAGGAGACGGTTAAAGCTGCTGGGAAGATTTCATCACAGTTAAAGAGACAAAAAGGGGCAAGTGTGCTCACACGGGAGATCTGCTGTGCACCCCTTGGCTATGGCAAGTGTGGCTTATGGCTCCTGTTCTCCAAACCTCTCATTACCAGGACGTGAGCAGATCCTCCTGCTCAGAGCTGACACCCCAAGCTGTCCTGCATGAACAGTGCGACCAACACGTGCTGGATGGAATGAGTGAAACACTCAGCGTGTGGGCAGCAGGTCTTATGGGGATTACTGGGGGCTGCATGGCTGCTGCGGGCTCCTCTGAGCTCCCAAGGACTCTGAGCATCTCCTGGGGCCTCACCCATCCCTGTTTCTTTCCCTCTCCTCTTGGCTTCTCCCAACCCCTTCTGGGAAATTTTTGGTGAAATGTTTTCCATTGAAACAAAAGCCTCCTTAGATAGAACCTTCTGGGGAACAGGCCAGTTTTGATGACTTTTGCACTTTGGGAAAAAAAAAAAAGTGCTGAAAACACTTAGAGTTGACCTTTTCTTTCTGCTTTTTAAAAGCAACAGAGGTTCTTTCCTGTTGTTCTTTGAAATGGCTTCTTTGAAATGTAAGCTGGGGCACAGCTGCAACCTTCTCAGAACACCTCAAATGTCGAGGAAAAAAAAGCTTTAATTGAGCATAAATTGTTATTGTTTTCATATTTCCTGCTAAATCTGCATGTCAGATTCTGACTTTCAGGATGGGGAAGGTATCTTCAAAATCTCTGAGAGCTCAAAGAGCTCCATCCCCGCTCCAGCTGCATCACTGGAGTACCGCCATGTCATCAGGGGTCCCAACTTCATGCTCAGAGAGCATCTGTTTCCCCTTGTTGAGTTAAAATCACAGAATCACAGAAACACTAGGT